CTACGCATTTTTTTCTAATACTACCTATTGTACATAATTGTAACCCCACAAAAATTTTACCGAATAACAAATGTCTTTTTCTGCGTTTACATTTGTTGCGCATTTTATTCATTGGCATATCGACATGTAAATGCATCTTTTTTAAAAGCTGACTTCTTATTATGAAATACATCTAAATACACCTTTACGGTTATTTCTTGCAAATACTCGCCTACAAAGTGGAGAAAATTTTGGTATTGCAATGCATATCTCACGTGATTGACTTTGCAAAACAGTCACCTTCGTGGAGCTTTGTACCCACGATTTGGCGCTAAAACAACCCAAGTGTTGGTGGACTAGGAATGCGATTGAAGTACTGACAGGGTGAAAGCAGCGGACCCGCTACTGCTGGTATACATAAGGCCAGTAGGAAGGTGGTGTGAAAATCTTTATGGAGGCACCACTGACTGCTCTGTCACAAGATTTTTCAGATGTTTCACGATTGTTAGCAGTGTTCTGAAAACAGGAAATACGAACATTTACCGAGTGTCATTTACAGACATTCTGATAAGGGTCGACACGGGTTATCCAATTCACAGCACATTCCCACATTCCAGTCCTTGAATCCAACGGTATTCTTTTCTCTCTTCCTCCGTCCAGGTTCAGGATCCCCTGGAACAAATCGTACACAAACAGGCGACCGCCATCTTCAAACTGCTGTCCCTTGTCCCCGAGTGGAGGGCAGCGCTTCTATGAAACGATTTCCAAGCTCCTCAAAGTAATTGTGTTGTGTAGTCACACATGTGTGACATGTGTGCTGTTTCAAATGACTAGTTACTTTTATACTATCTCATGTTCCTAGGCAGAAATGCTATTGTTTTATTAATGAAATATATAACAAGTGAATGCATTTTACAGTTTTTATGCAGGAATTAAAGTAGTCTGAATAATTTCCCTCATCCGGTGTGATTAGGTAAACAATGTTATGCTAGAGGCGTCGTAATGGACATACAGATTCAAGTTACAGGAGTACTTAACAGTGTTCTCGCAGATGCTGCCTCGGATGTCGCCTTTGGTGT